GGTTACTCATATAAACGAAGATATCAGATGAATATGGTTAGCATTTTTCATATATATTTTCTTAGTTGTAGTTGATCACAATACCTTTATTTTATTTTTTTATTTTTATGCACTGCTGAGGATCAAACCCAGTGCCTCGCACATGCTAGGCGAGCGCTCTACGCCTGAGCCATAATGCCAGCCCCCATGGTTAACATTTTAAGCCATCTTTTTTTCTGCCAAAGAAAAATCTTAAAAGCAACAGACATTGTACTTCAAACATTTTATAGAAAACAGCACTCTCTTCATTGGCTGATCATCTAGAAAAACATGTACATTAGTAATTTTAAAGACATCTTTACTCTCATTTTTGTAACCAATTTAAATTTACCTTTTTGTTAAAGGTTACTTAAGTCACATGAACTAAAAGGCATTTGGATCTATTCTTTTTTTAAATTTATGAGTGCTGATTTATCCATAAGCCAATTTGATACCATGTAGACATAATATACAATACACACATGTATTGTGAAAAAATTAAAATATAAACAGAAAACAAAGATTTCTATAGCTTTTATCTAGATTTACCATTTGTCAGGATTTTTAAAAATAACCTGTTGATATGATTACCATGGTCCAGCTAGGTGTGGTGGCACATGCGTCAGCTACTTTAGGAGGCTGAGACAAGAGGATTGTAAATTCAAGGCCCATCTCAGCAATTTAGTGAGGCCATAAGCAACTTAGTGGGACTGTCTGAAAAAAAATTACATCTCAAAGACATAAAACTTAATTTAAACATTACTAGAAGGGTTTGGGTAAGTGAAAGTCTAAGTTTTAAAGGTGGGGCATGTTATGTAGACTTAATATCTTTTCCTAACTTAAGAACTAGTCAATACAGGGAGATAAACTTACAAATGGAAATTTCTTTTGAAAAAGTTAGGGAAATCACCAGTGGGCCAGATATCCTCTTTAACCAAGAAGCATAAAAGAAAGTGTCTCTCAAGACAAGCAAAAGAAATAAAGAAAGGGCTCTTCTTTTTAGAGCTTGCATAGTCCAGGTATTGGACACCTATAGGTAAGGGATAAGAAAGTTAAAGCTGCTCATTAAACAGAGTGTAGGTCAGATTTCAAATTTCAGAAACCAAAACAGCTTGGCACAGATGTCTTCTGTGACACAGAAACAGGGGACACAGATCTGGGGGAGGCCTATAGAATTGGGGATGGCTGGGACAGGGTCTACCAACCATGCCTGGACATTGAATCAATGGTTCAGGTGGTCACCTGTCCATCCATGAGGTTGATCCATGTCAACTATCATCATTGTTTATTCTCCTTTTTAGGATCTTTATAGGGGAAGATCTTTTTTTTTCCCAATGTATTTGAGAGTTAGTCCTTGAATAATTGCTTAACATAACAACACTTGAATCAGACTTTTTAAAAAGACAGCAGTGGGGATAAGGTGGAGGGATCCAGAAAGTCATATCTTTGACCATTTTCCTCCCCAATTATAGAACAAGCTTCCGTTCTCTAATTTATATTGAGACCAAGCTATGTTACAAGGAAAAAAAATCATTTCTTTTTTCCTTTTAAAAGTTCTCTGCCTCAAGAGTTGGGGTTGTAGCTCAGTGGTAGAGAGAGCACTTGCCTCGCACATGTGAGGCACTGGGTTTGATCCTCAGCACCACATAAAAATAAATAAATAAATATATTGTGTTCATCTACAACTAAAAAAAATTTTTTTAAAAAAGTTCTCTTCCTTAAAAGAATTCTAATTATTTAGTACATACCTAAGTGGTGAGTTTTCAAGGATAAACAATGAATTATCCATAATAGTTAATGGTTTTTTGAAAAACATAGGCCTCGGGGTACTCTGAGTTCCCACCAGGGATAGGATTTTTAAATCTGTCCCATACTGTATCTTCAGGGTAATCTGCTTTTCTCTTGGGACTTGACCTTTAGTCAGTCCCATAATATTGGGGTACTCTTATTAGTTCCCAGAAGGATAGGACTTTTAAGCTTGTCCCAAATTGTCTGCAAATTATTGGCAATACAATTGTCCTTGTCCCCATTATGCAGTTGTCCTAGTTAGGAGCTAACTAGGACTCAAGAAAAGAAATATTTTATGGAAAATAATCCTAAAAGCAATATTCCTAAGATCTCAAGTAATCTAGGTGCATTTAAGAACTTATAACTTTTTGGGTCTTATTTTTAAAAAGTGAGAACACAAAAACCTCAGTTTTTAGGAATGTTAGGATAAGACAATGTCAGGTAACTTTTAATGGAAAGAGATTTGTTTATAGTTAACATTTTATCTCATGACCAAGAAGGACAAACGCCTCATTGCAATCTTGTCTCTTCAGGCAAGATCTGATTAAAAGAAAACGTGTCTTAAGTTTAGCAGTTGTTGTCCCAGCTATCTGAAGGTGAGGTTCTCATTCTTTCAGTGAGATAGTACTAATAGGGTGGCCATTTATGTTGACTGATAATAAGAGAACAGAGAAAGAGAACACTTTCTTTCAGAGCTGCTACTATTAAAAGTCAGATCAAGAGTGGAAAAAATATCAAGTACAGAGAATGTAAAGATAAACCCAAGGATCAGCATGACTTTAGATAAAGCAAGTTTTGAGAATGTTTTCTAGCTGACAGTAACTGCATAGGAAGAGAATAATTTAGCTGGAAAATAAGACAAGATTGCAAAGAGATAGTTTAGAGACTAGATCAAGGGAAGACAGAACAAGAATACATCCACAGAACCTAATTAGTTCTCTTTGTTTCCACCCATTAATCTTCAGGGTTTGTATACCTATTGTTTTACAAGTTACTTGATTGTTCATTAAAGGCAATTTAAAGAAACCCCAAGACCCTGCTTGGCCATTGGTTCACATTTCACTGATCCTTACTAACTAGTATCTACCACTTAAAATTTGTATGTTTTGAGACAGGATCTCCCTAATTGCTGAGGATATTACTAAGTTGTTGAGGCTGGCCTAAAATTTGCAATCCTCCTGTTTCATTCAGCCTCCCAAGTTGCTGGGATTATAGGCATGTGCCACTGTGCCTGGCCCCAGAATCTTTTATTGAGTTCCTTCAGACCAAAGATTTTCTCATGTCCAGAAGGTGTTACTATGTCCTGAACCAACTTATTCTTTCATGGCATTCTCATTTTTAGCTGGTGAGTAATCTGATAGCCCTTAAGTACTCAATCCATACCCACTAGTTAAGTTGTGACTTGGCTTTGAGATCCCCTTGACAACTTAGGGATTTTCCCCACTCAAGCTCAAGAAAAAGGAACTATGAAGACAGAGAACAAAATCCCTGTGAATTTCCAGAAATTGGAATTCACACTCCTGCAGTACAATGGGCCCACTTATCTATGATTTAATTTTCTGTGGTTTCAATTGCCATTGGTCAACCATGGTTCAAAAATATTAAATGGGAAATTCCAGAAATAAACAATTGATAAGTTTAATATTATATACCATTCTGGGTAGTTTGATGAAAGAGTGTTGTTCTAATCCATCCTGTGTGGGTTCCTTTGTGCAATATACTTATATTGAACAACCTATGCAACAGTCACTTAGTAGCCAACTTGGTAATCACATCAACTGTGGCAGTGGCATGGTACTAGTATACAGTGTCTGTTACACTCTGTACCTTCAGGCATCCACTGGGATTTTGGAACATGGCCCTACAATTGCCATTAAATGCCAGTTTCTGACATAGTGAGACACCTACAATCTCCCTATAGGACCCAGTCTTATTTCTGTCATGACTGCTATTCTTGCCAGTGACTCCTCAGCCTCTGTAAACCCCACAATGTCACATGATTTTTTGCCATACATACTAGCCCTCTGTCTGCAGCCCTGAGTTCATATGCCTTCTCACAGTTCACTTTCCCTGAATTCAAAAGCCAAAAGATTAAAGGGAAAATGCAAAAAGAACAGAGTTCAATCTGAGATGGACTTACAACACTTGAGGCTCCCTAAGAAGACAGGGGATCTTAAAAGGAATCAGCAGCACCTCTCCCGCATTCCATAGCTGTGTTCTTCAAGTCCCTTTATAAATTGCCAAAACTGTTGAAGACAAAATTATCACAGATTTACTCATGGATCTAATTGGTTGTTAATTGGGAGTCAGGATCTAATTGCCTTAATTCTACAAAGTGACAATGAGACCTCCCATTGGACAATAGCAGAACTGTGGACAGGTAATGTAGGAACAAGGAAACAGAACAATAAGGAAATCTTGACTACTTTGGTTACTTTTCTATGAGAGTTAAATCCACAGAACTTTCTTATCATGCTAATTCAGGTACATGGAAACCTCCTCTTTCCATGAAAAACTTGCCTGTTAGGGGAATTATCTACTTCTCTAAAGCTTCAGTTTGATTTTGTGGCACTCACAGATTGAGTGACACCATTTTGGGTTATTCTGGTCTGTTAGGGCCTGTTAGTATAGGAATTTAGGCCAAAACACTGATCTCCTATAATTTTTTTTTTACAATTGCCCCCAAATTCTGAATTCCATGCTATCCTTTGAGCTTCTAAATGACTTGTTGGTAAGGGAGAAAGTTGAGATCTCCAGAGAGAATTTGGCCACCTTTCCCAAGTCACACTGTCCTCCCCTAGTGGGCCCTTTCCCCTCGTGGGTACTTCTACTTCCACAGATGGGATGTTTGGGCACTTGGTATCCGATTTTTGTTTACTAAGCTTTAAAGTAAAGAAAAATCCAGCAGTGCATGTCCTTTTATACATATGTGCAGATTTTCCTTTGTATGCTCCTAGGGGTGTGTTTCCTCCCCTCACTCCTTCTGCCACTTCCTCCTGAGATGTTTTTCACTCCCAAGCCCTACCTTAACAGTTTCTAGAAACTTTTCCTTCCACCTAACCCTAGTTAACCTGGACACTGGGGCAGGGTAAGCACCTCTACTGCACCCTTCCCCCATTCCTATTGGAGAGCAAAGTGACCCTGCTGCACACAAGCCTCTTTTTCATCTGACTCTCCACTTACTCTCCTTCTAGCTCTCCAGCTCCTATACCACCACCACCACCATCACAGCACCTCCCAACGGGTGCCTGAAGGATGGAGGAGAGAATTTGGAGAAGGACCTTCTCTACTTGGCAGAAGACATCCGCCCTGAAATAAAAGATGACATATACGACCCCAGCTATCAGGATGCAGAGGGCCCCAGGCCCCAAACTGAGTTTGTCTGGAGAAACATCATCCTCATGGGTCTGCTGCACCTGGGAGCCCTGTATGGGATCATACTTGTTCCCACCTGCAAGTTCTACACTTGGCTCTGGGGTAAGCAGGTTTCCTTGTCCTGAGCCAGTCCCCCAGGTTTCTCATTGCTTCTTGATAAGGTGGGTTGCTCCAAGAGTGGGCCCCTCTCTGTCCAGGTTTTGCCAGTTATGTGTCTTTGGTTGCTTGAGATACTGAATGGGCTGGAGAAAGAGCCTAGGGAGTTTGAAAGGCAAGAATGTCAGTTCTGGGGGTCTCTTAATGTGGTATTGGGGAACAATCCCTAAGACCATGTGCAGAGGTTGGAGGAGTAGACAAATGGCCTTTAGAGAGGCAGGTGTCCCAGAGAGTTTCTGTTTGCATCATTTGTGTGGCGGCCTGTCAAAGCTTACTTGCCACTAGATAACTCAGAGGAAAGATGGTAGAAAAGGGAAGAACAGAAAGGGGGTAATTCAGAAAAATACTTTGACCTGACCCCTTGGCTAGTCCAGATTCCTTTGTCACACAGGAAGAATAACAAGGCTCCTGTCTGACCTAAGTTGTGCAGATGTGTTGCTGTGTTACTCTTGGAAGGTCTCCAGGGCATAGCAAATGCCAGACAACAAAAGGCTCTTAGAATGAAATAAAGTTGCATAAATTCTGTTTAACTCCTGCCGGCTACTTCCCTCTCTCCAGATGCCAATGAAGTGCCAAAGACCCAGTACCTTCTAACTCTAGTACTGCCCCCTACCTGTCTTCCAGGGGCTGCTGTAGTGAGAAAGAGAGGGTTTCCAGTTTCTGTCTGATCCACCCTTATTTCAGGGACCCATCAGGACTCCTGATGGCCTGCCCCCCTGGATCTATGCCTTTGCAGGTAGATTCACCTCTGTCCCTGAAGCTGAGCTAGGAAGGGGGAACAGGGAGCACTAGAGATCCAGGTGCCAAATTGCTGCTCTATGAGGAGTTGGGAGCCAGTATGCCCTCTCCAGAAGTCACTCAGAGGTTTCCTGGAACAACCTCAGGTGTGGGGGACTTTCTGGCAGATCTCTTGGAGGGCAGTGGGTTAGAAGGACTGGTCAGTCAGGAGATAGCTGGACCCTCTATACCTCTTAGGTCTCATAGGTGGTAAGATGTGCTCCCTTGAGCACTGACTTGACAAATCTTTCTGATGTCACAGGAAAATGCAACTGAGAAGATCTCTTTTCTCAGGCAAAAGACCAGAGACCAACTGGGGACAAACTCATATTTTTAGGACAGGAAAAGTTATGTTCCTTTGATTACATGGTATCATCCCTGCCCCAGAGGCACTTGGTGGGAGCAGGCCAGGCAGGAGGTCACACCATCTGCATACCAGAAAGGGTTGCTATGTGTGTGAGGGGAGGTGACTTCAGTTTTCCTACTAGTGTGACCCTCCATACTTAACCTCTGACACTTAACCTCTACAGAATCTATTTCCTTATTCGCTTAGCTGTCAACTGCGTATAATAACAGTTCTTCCACTGACAGAACAAATCTAACTGATTGAGTCTCTTATTTGACAGACAAATAGGTGTGAATTGAACAGGCATCAAAGTGCCTGTGTTCTTGTCCCAGTACCCCTGTTAAGATGGGAGGCATGTGCTTTGGGATTCAATTCCTAGGGCCATCTGCACCATTGAAACAGAAGCTCTGTTTTGTCCAGAGTCCTTTCTTTCCTCCTGGTGACTACAGGGCTCTGGTTCCACTGTGGTTTGTCCAGATAGAGGTGGAGTTAGACACTGAATCAGGAAAGAAGATCTCAATAACTACATGGCCAGAGGCCACATATCACTTGGAACCTCAGCCTGGCTCAGAGAGAATGTGACTAGAACTTTCCTTGAGACAGACCCTGGCTCTGTGGCTCTTTTGGGAATCCTGTAGGAGGAACAGGATAGTGTTCAGGAGGTAGGAAAGGGAGAGGAGAATGCCTGCTGTTTAGGAAACTATCTCTAGTTGCAGGACACAGGGCAATTGATTACAGCATGTAAACAATCTCCAACTGAAATTAAGTAATTGGCCCCTGAGGATCCACTGTTTCTAGCTGCACAAGGAATGAAATATTGTTAACAGTTTCTCCCAAGGCCTCAGCCTCTGTTTCCTAGTGCTGCCTACAGAGGAAGACTCAGGCTTAGGAGGTCCCACATATATCGTCCTGCCTCATGACCTCAAGGCCCACACTCAGCAGACCTTCCTAATTAGAGATACATGAGACACCTCCTGAGCCTGTAGGCCTTGAAGACAGTGGGGCAGGACAACATTGGGGTGCTCCATTGTCAGAAACTGGATGGTAGAGGTAGAACAATCACTAGAACAATCACTGCTTATTGTCAGAATAGTTTGTTAACCTTGGCTTCAGTTTTCCTACCAGTGTGACCCTTGATACTTAACCTCTGACACTTAACCTCTATAGCATCTATTTCCTCAACTGAAAGATGTGGTCTTATTAGCACCTACCTTTTTCAATATGAGAATATTAAAATATTACCATATCTATGGTAAAGCTTGAGTCTCTGTGCAAATTCGACTGTGTGCAGAGCTTACTAGAGTTGCATTAGCTACTGCAATACTAAAATACTTTTGTAGCACCTGATTGATAAATATCCACTGCTCTGCATATCCTAGGTGGATCCTGTACCATACAGCTCCTTCAATTGGTCAGTGCCCAGATTTCTCTGGCTGCTATTTTCAAAACAAACTTGCTTGTTCCTGTGCTCAGTGGGAGTAATTTATGGTCCTGAATACCTTAGAGAAGGTCAACTGAATGTCCATGGAGATAGGACCTTGGATACAGTCCCTTCAGGTTGCCAGTGAGGGTGACACAGTGGTGAGAGTCTTATTCCCTTTCCCTCTCTGCCCCCTTACTTCCTGGAGCAACTTATCCCATCTCCATCCCTGGATGGAGAGCGTAAGGGTGATGTTATTTATTTATTTATTTGGTACCAGGGATTGAAATCAGAGGCACTTGACCACTGAGCCACATTGCCAGCTCTATTTTGTATTTTATTTAGAGACAGGGTCTCACTGAGTTGCTTAAAGCCTTGCTTTTTGCTGAGGCTGGCTTTAAACTTGCAATCCTCCTGCCTCAGCCTCCCAAGCTGCTGGGATTACAGGCATGTGCCATTGTACCCAGTGGTGATGGTATTTTTTAAAATGATAAAAATACAAGGCCTCAGAGACCAAGGCATCCTAGGGTTCAGGGGTGCCTCACTCGAAGTCTAAAGATGACAAAAGTGTGTCATCAGGAGAGTGTACTTGATATGCTTCCTCTGATGGGAATCACACTGGTTGGTACTCTCATTGTCTTGTCCTGGCAGCATATTTCTGCTATTGGGCCAGTATAGAGGGCATCACTGCAGGAGCTCATCGCCTGTGGAGCCACCGAAGTTACAAAGCGCGGCAGCCCCTGCGGCTCTTCCTGATCATTGCCAACACCACGGCGTTCCAGGTAAGAGGAGAACACTAACTTTTGTGTCCTTACCCTGTCAATGACCCAGGGAAAAATGGAGGGGATCTGAGCCTGGACAGCAGCTCCACCAGGACATTTGTTGCCATTTCTAGTTTCTGGAAATAGTCTGGGAATATAAGTCACTTTTTTGCACAGGCTTCAGAGTACGTATGCAGAAGAGGACAAGCCCCTCCATGCCTCCTTTGGAGCCAGACTTTGGGGACTGTGTGAGATTGGGCTGAGAACCGTGGGCCCTTGCAGACATCCAGGCATTGGACTTTTCCCAGGAGGGTGTCCCTCCTCAGGCCTGTGTTCCTCTTCTCTGTCCCTCCAGAACGATGTTTATGAATGGGCCCGAGATCACCGCGTCCACCACAAGTTCTCAGAAACACATGCCGACCCTCACAACTCCCGCCGCGGCTTCTTCTTCTCTCACGTGGGTTGGCTGCTGGTGCGCAAACACCCAGCTGTCAAAGAGAAGGGGGCGACCCTGGACCTATCTGACCTAAAAGCTGAGAAGCTGGTGATGTTTCAGAGGAGGTGAGTTAAGGGAAGATGGAGCTAGGGATGTGGCTCTGGGTACCTGAAGCTTAGGGAACCCATTTTTTCTCTTAGGTCTTAGAAAATAATGGTCAAAAATTTACTGTAAGTTCAAACTCATTTAAAACTCCAGTATTTGACATTCCACAGGCCCCCAGGCTGTACCTTATGGCTCTGTTCCTTCCTCTCCGAGCTATCTTTATGAAACCCATTAAATTAACAAACTGACCTGGGATAATCATGGATACAAAAAATAAATGTAGCTGAGAACTTACCTTCAAGAACTTTCTACTCTACTGGGGTTACAGGGGTAATCCAAGTATCCAAATAACCATGATATAAGGCAGAATATTGTGTGTATCTGAGAGGTAGAAAGAGGAGGGAGATTATTGAGGAGGGAACTGCTGGGAAGGTATAATGAACAGAGTACAATCACAATCCACCTGTAGATAGAGACTTTCATATGTATAGGAGCAAGGACAGTGGAACATAATGAGCCAAAGTCTCAAGGAAGTTCCAGGAAGGATGTCCTTCTGCTTGGAATATAGGGTGGGACAGGAAAAGGAGCACAGTGACAGTTTCTGCAGATTCCTTTCTGCAAATTTAAGATTTTATGCACTTGGAAACAGGAAACTACTATTGGTTTCCTCTGCAGCAACAGGGCATAGAGGTGTGCTTCAGAGTGGCTGCTCTTGGGTAGGTAATCACTGAGCCAGAGAGATGACAGGCAGGGACACAGGTTGGATAATAGGGAGCACCCTGCTGGAGAGGCAGTGGCAAGAAGGGAAAGGAGTTGGAGGCAGGGAATGCCGGTGACATACGAAATCAAAGATATGTCTGCTCAAGGGAAGGAGTCGGACAGTCAGCTCCCTTCAAGTGTCAATGGCCTGGTCTATATGAAAGCGAAAAGTGGGACAGGGCCTCTGCAGGGACAGAGACCTGCAGGTGATCAAGGACATTCGCTGTGCCTCCTGACAGAAAAGCAGAGCAAACAATTAGGGGAGGAAGTAGGAAACGGAGGTGTTATACAAAACACGTTCTGTTCCAAAAGAGCGTGATTGGAGAAACAACGCAGCCCTAAGGCAGATGGACAACAGCCCAGGCAGCAGAACTTGGCTGGTAACTTTGTGATTTGACCCTCACTTGTTGACCAACTCTTCTTTATGGTCTTATCAAATAAGCAGTTTGAATGGGAGCCAAGTGTTCCAATCCTTGCTGCACTGGTTCCTAGTGTTATCTTAGAAAGTCATTTAATGCCTCATCTAAAAAATGATACTATATACTCAAAAGATTTCCCACCCATCCCCCCAGGCTGCTTTTTGCCCAACTGTACTCATTGTGTAGGAGGAAAGTCATTTCACAGCTTAGCCCAGTTAAAGTGGACAATCTAGATTAAGTGTGTGAGTCCTCGATCCACTGACTAAATGTGTGATGTTTCAATGTAGGTACTACAAGATTGCTGTCCTGGTGATGTGCTTCATCGTGCCTACTCTAGTACCCTGGTTTTGTTGGAGTGAAACTTTTGTACACAGCTTGTATGTTGCCACATTCCTGCGATATGCTGTAGCGCTCAATGCCACCTGGCTGGTGAACAGTGCTGCCCATCTCTATGGATACCGCCCCTATGACAAGAACATTGAACCACCTGAGAGTCTCCTGGCTTCACTGGGAACTATGGGTAAGACAACAGTACACAGTAAAACCATATCTAGGGATCAGCTGATGACAGTATTCAGCTTGGAGCCAGAAACACCAGTTACATTTGTTCTTATGAACTTTTTTGTATCTTAGTTCTTCCACTGAAAAATTAGGAGTCACTTTTGGGAAATGCATAGGAGAGTCAGGCAACAAGGTTTTTGTAAAAGGATGCTTAAAAATAATAGTGCCTTTTATTCCAGGTCCCCCAAGCCATCTCCAAATCCTACGTATATTGAGTCCTTTTCAAACTTTCCTTTCTCCTGTCACCTCTGACCTGGCTGTAGGCATACTTGGGGCAGAAGAAGCATAAAAAGAACATCAGGGTCAGTGGACAGGCCAGGAAGCCATGTGTTTTATATTTAATCATGTTGTATAAAATGCGGGAAAAGTAATTATTACAATTTAAAAAAAGGATAATGCTCTGAAAGCATTTTTTATCCTTTACTATAGTCTCATGAATCCCCCTACCTCCTTTCAGGCATCTTCTACCATTGTACATATTTTTACTTTGACCTATGCTGTGCAATTTTGACATTTTCCAAAGAAACAGAATAATCCAGTTTATTTATCTTCACTTGTTTATTGTTCATATCATTACTACTGGCATGTGTCCTGTATTGTAAACAGAGCTAGGGTGAACTTCCCTGACTCCAGGGTCTCCTTATGACTACCAGTTCAAAGTGGCTGCCAGCCTTACCATTATCACTGGTGTCATTCACTTCTATATACCTGCCCTTCCCTCCCTCTCTCCACCCTTTGCTCTCCTCCAGCTCAGGTTCCTGCCATTCTAATCTTTTCCCTTTTTGAAAGACCTCCCCTCACAGTCAAAAGTTCACTCTCTCTCTCTCTGAAAAAGCTGACCTTCCCCATGAGCCTTCCTGGAGCTGCCTCTGGCTACCCCAGTTACCAGCTATGACCTTCTTCTTCACTTTTCTCTTGTGTCTAAGTATGCATCTTATTTTATCTTAAATGGGATGCTGATAGGTCAAGTGAGTGCTTATTCAGAGCCTGAGAAACCAGTCATGGAAGGGAGTGGTCCTTTTTCAGCACCCGTAAGGCCTTCATGTTACCACACACCATTCTCTCAGTTCCCATTCCAGACAACCCAGTGTACAGAGGGACATGCACTTTTAGAAGCCCTGATTAGGGTCATTTCTTTTGCTTATTGTTCTCCACTTGTTTATTGTTCATATCATTACTACTCTAACTGGGGACATTTTTATCCTCAAGAGTCCAACAAATTCTTTTATTAGTTTTTATCCCAACTTGATAAGGCTCGGTTTTGCTAATGTTGGAAGCTGTTCAGAAAAAGAGAGTCCTGCCAAGGGTTGGCAAAATATCCGTGGAGTTTCCAAACATTTGTCCTCCATAGAATACTCCTCCATTGAGAGTACCTGTATTTTCCTCTCAAAGTGAAAAGCTAATCTCAAGAATTCTCAATCTCAGAGGTTAGAGGGAAGCACTCAGAATTTTCAGACTGTTTCTGTTTTATCAGTGCCTCCCCAATCCCAGGGTCAAAGTTCAGAGAATTAGAAGTCAGAGTAGCCCACTATGAACCAGCAGTGACTGAGAAATCTCTAGCCTGTGGCTAGGCCTCCTTACCTCTAACTTTTCCAGTCAGTCTGTTGGAACCTCTCACCCTTACAGGAGGCATCAGGGCAGTAAAGAAAAGGTGTGTTTCCTTACTCACCTTTGTAACAGAACCATCTTCTCTATCATCCTCCTATCCCTTGAGAGAAACTTCCCTCAAAGGATCAAAGGATCCCAGACAGAAATGGTTGACCAGAGCCTCTGGACCTGTTACTTAAGATGTCTCTGGGGGTATCTATTTGCTTCACAGTTGAACACTGAGTTCATTCATTCATTCAGTAACAGCGAGTTTCTCCAGGGCTCAAGGTACCCTGCTAGGTAGGAAGTGTGCAAAGATCAGGAAGAAAGCAATCTCCTGAGCTCCCTAACTTCTCTCTTTGCTTTTGTTCCAGGTGACTGCTTCCACAACTACCACCACTCCTTTCCCTACGAATACTCTGCCAGTGAGTACCGCTGGTACATCAACTTTTCCACGTTCTTCATTGACTGCATGGCTGCCCTTGGTCTGGCTTATGACCGGAAGAAAGTGTCCAAGGCTGCCATCTTGGCCAGGGTTAAAAGAACTGGAGATGGAAGCTACAAGAGTGGCTGAATTTGGGGCTGACCAGGATCCTGTTCCAAAAGCCAGCTGAATAGAAGTTTAATTTCTGTCAATTCACTACTTCTTAATGCTACCAGGATGCTAAATGATGACCTTAACCCATCCCAGAATGGTATTCTTGTAAAATGCATAACTATTGAAAGGCAACAACTCTCCTTTACTCTGTTAAGCAGATATTCTTTTCTTCCCTCTCTTTTCATCCTATTGGCTTTTTCATTGCTTTGTTCCTATCACCTTTCTCTTCTCCCTCATTGCTTCCAGGCAAGGTGCTGGTCAGCTGTACCATGTGTCTTGCTTTCAAATCCTATCACCTTTTCTAGAGTCTAAAAGTAAAGGTATTTACTCCAGAAAACTCTCTTTTCTTGAGCTGTCATGAGCTTAAAGATAGGTGGCTAAAACTAGAGATGCAACAAAAGTTCTGGGATGTTACTAAGTATCATCACCACATTTGCTCCATGGATGAAAAAATAACTTTATTTGGCACAGATCTTACAAAGCAGATAAACTATCAAGAGAAAGTTAGCATGCAGGGTATGACTCATAAGTAAGGAAAATGATGAATTGGAAATGAAGAGCAAGGAAAGTTTCTGTGATCAGACCCATTTGCTTACCATCCAGAGACATGGAGTCGTTCTCTGTCTGACAGTGAAAAGGAATTGCCTTGGAGCTTGGCAATGCCAGAACCCAACACTGAATCTTAGTGTCTCAATGTAATTTAGCCTGAAAATACAGAAGAAGCACTTATTTAGTAGGAAAAGGGGTCTTTGCTGGAGAACAATTTTATTTTTCTTAAGATTTCTTGTTTCATAATACAAGAAATCTTCAGATTGGCTATGTCCAGACTTGACATATAAAATCACTCATAGAGTTTTGGGCATTCCATGAGCTGCTCCTCCAACTTCTTTCACTATTCTCTGCTGCCATATTTGTGATATTAATTGCACCTCTCAAAATAATAAGATGACTGTGTAATTTCCAAATAGTCAAATCAAAAAGGGCTTTAGAAAGTGGAGGTGTGTCAACCAGAACATATGTAGTCATGGATATTTTGCTTGGATCTTCAAAATATTTTAGAGTATTTACTTCTGAAAGAGGATGTTGAAGAAATTTGAAGTAGAGGGGAAATTATATAGCTTGCCTAATCCTCCCATTGCTGGACAGGTGATGGAGAAGTTGAGGGATAGCATCTGTAGACAGCTTCTGCAAAGAAACTTTCCAAAGGGCTCTGAGAACACAACCAGGAGATTCAAAAGTTGCTAAGTAAATTAGATGTCATAATGAAACAAGCTCCATGCTAGGTCCCTTTATTTGTCCAAATTGCTCCTTAGATTGAGTAGAAACTAAGTTTTTCTCCTCGGTGTTGTGCCCTTCAGTCATTCCTTGCTCTGTGACCATCCAGCCTATAGCATAGGATTGCCTGGGGAAGAGGATTAAATCTCTTATCTGCTGTGATTCTGGATTCTTGGCTCTACCTACTGTCCCTTTTCTCTTACTTTTTCTCTGTGTTCTCGTTTTTCTTCTTTCCCTGGATGGGCAATTGCCTGTGGGTATTCAGGGCATTGAGGAATTGCTGCCCAGGAAACTCCCTCTCTTGTAGTCACAATGCTCTTTGGCTCTGCAGTGCTGTGTCTCTTTAACAAGTAGAGCTGATGCCAATTTTTTGTGGCCTCCAGATCCTCTTCACCTCCCTGTGTGCCCCTGCCATACTGATAACCCCATACAAGTCTGAAAAACTCTTCTAGAAGACTGGTTGGCTCAGAGAGGCTCTGTCTCATGAGTCACAGCTGATCTCAATGCTCACTTTTTTTGCCAGTGAGCCAGCCACTGAGCAGGAGTTTGTTGTTAGTCCCCTCGATATGGGTTAGAACAGAGAGTGCCCCCTGAGTGTTCAACAGAGTGGCTTGGGCTGATCAGCACTTTACAGCTGACAGTACAATGCTTTGGGGAGGAGGAGGAGGAAACCTAGTCCACCGGGGGAACACAAGAAATAAGGACAAGTTCCTAAGTGCCTCACATTTAAAGGAGGCCCCTACCTGGAGCCAGGGTCTGCTGGAAAGCTTGGGCTAAGACATGCCGGGAACTTTGCTGAAAATAATGTGTTTAGTAAACTGACAACCCCTGCCACATAGCCTAAGGCAGATAATAGGGTGGAAGAAATCTGGAAAAACATGGAACATTAGTGTTTGTCGACTATGAACCTCACCTACCCTGTGCTTCTGTCATCAATGCAGAAGCCTGGCTCCTCTCTTTTATATTTGGAGTGTGCAATATGAAATGCTGTATTTACTGTTGAGGTCCAGTAGTGGGAGAGCAGGTCCTTCCTTCCTGTATCAATTGTAGAGAGGCTACAAGCACCAGCCTGCACTAAGGCAGCTTTGTCTGTGAGCTCTTGATTTATTTGAAAGAACCTCTTGGAATATCACAATAAATTGGATCTACTGACCTATGTGTCTATCCCTGGGAATATCTCTTATGTAGTTTTAAAATTCTATAAGTCTTTAGATATCTTCTTTATAATATGTGAATAATAAACTCATCTTTCTCTTCTAGTACTGTTCCATGGATCTGATCATGCCATGTCCTTACACAAGTGGGGACCGTGTGAATGTGGTGTGTAGGGAGGGGCATGTTGGCTCAGTAAAAACTCTATTTTCAAGATTCTAAAGATCAATTCAAGTGACACATTAATGAGAAACTCTGATCTGATCAAAAGTGAATTTCTAACAGTCCTTGCCTTGTGTACTGCTAACTACTTTTTTGGGGTACCTAATGTCTCCTCTCATGTGTGTTGCATGTGAGCCTCCACTCACTCTCTCTGTGAAGTTCCTTTACATGTGAGAGCCTACAGATCTGCCCAGGATAAAGGAGAATTATCAGCACATTGATTTCACTGTAGGTTTCATTCTGGATATTTGCCTTAGGACTATTTTTCTTAAATGCCTATATTTGATGGAAGATAGAAATAATTTAAATGTATTTGATTTATTAGTTTTTTATATTAGAAGATGTTTATATCTTTTAAAGTAGAAGTTTTTTCCTTCTTGGCTGGCTAGTATCCCTATTACAATTGTATTTGGAATGGCAAATGTAAAAAATAAAGAAAGGAAAGAGACCAATGTTACTCTAGTGGTAAAAACCTCAGTTTTTCTTTAATTAAGATGGGGTAATATTCTGGCCAATGTCAAGGGCAATTCTGAGACATGACTAATATTTTTTATAAAGCATTTTGGGATCCTCAACAGAGAAATACGTCCGCTGTATTTGTATAAAAGCAGTGTCTTCCATGAACTTGACATGTTAATATATCCCAGATAATATCATTAGTTTACATGGTTCTCTTGAGAGGTGAAGTGAATGAATTCTATCACTTGTGGGCAACTACAAGGATAAAATTTGATAACATATAATCATTGCTATGAACATATATATATATATACAGGATATCTATTTCTCTTTTGGTGGGATTTTTTCTTTCTTATATGAAGTAGTAGTCATCTGTAACCTAATAATGACTTTGGAATAATATTCTTTAATATCAACTCTGAAGCTAGTTGTAATGATCTGACATGATGTTTGTTGCTAATAAAAGTGAAATGAATCTGATTGCACTGTGTCTGGGAGCTTTTTGCTTGTGATTGTCTCTTAAGACCTTTATTTATGGCCCAATAGCCTATCCATGTCCAGCATCTTTTGAAATAAAAGATATGTAGAAATGACCAGGTTGTTAAATAACCCAGTAACCTTCCCTGCCCTTCCTAAGTATAACTTTATTTAAACACTAGGCATCAGGAATGGAGGTATCCACTCCTATTAAATCAAACTTTCACCAACAGTTGGCACCTTAGCCTGGGGAAATACCAGATATCCATGTGTCACATGGTCACATGGACCCAAAACAGAGACTCTAGGAGGTGCCTAGAGCAGCAGCAGAAGCTCTGCCTGGGAAAGTAATACTTCACACAGCTTTGCAGACCTTAACGTAAGTTGATGGTGGCATTTATGTCATCAATTAATATCTGGTTTTCTACTGTGATCCCTTTCCCTCTTTATTTTGTTCAAATGATCTGGTCAGCATATTCTTTTTCAGTTGTTCTACAATTGCACTCTTCTTACTAATTCTCTACCTCCCTTCTACAGGATCTGGTGTCCAATATAAATATCACTGGGCTTTTTTTTTTATTTCCTTCTAATTCCACATCTGCTTGTCCTCCCTTGGATTAAACATATCTTAATCCTTTTTCCAAAAAAATTATATTTTGATATCTGTTATCTCATCCTGGGACTGTTTTTTTTTTTTTACTCCTGTCTGTAAATGTTTCAAGAAGGAAGAAGAGCCAGGCATAGGTAATGTGTGTCTGTAGTCCCAGTTACTCAGGTGTTTATGGCAGGAGGATGACTTGAACCCAGGAGTTTGAGATCAACTTGGGAAACAGTGAGATGTCCTCTCAAGACACAACAGCCAGTGGCTCAAGAGGCTGAAGCAGGAGAATTGCAAGTTCAAAGCCAGCCTCAACAACTTAGAGTCCCTGAGCAACTTAGTGACACCCTGTTTCAAAATCTCAGTGGTAGAATGCATAGTTCGCATGGGTTAGGCCCTGGAGTCAATCTCCAGAACCAAAGCATAAATATTTTAACTACTTAGTTAATTAATTAAATATAAGTAAAATTAACAAAAGTGCATGAGAATGATAAATTGAAAATTATAAAAAGCTACTGAAAAATTAAAGGAGACCTAAAGATATGGAAAGAAATCACATGTTCATTATGTTCACGAATTAGAAAATTCAGTATTAAGATGGTAATACTCCTTGAACTGATTTATAGATTCAAAACAATCCACATCAAATTTCATCTCTTTGTATATAGGAAATTGGCAGGGTGATCCCAATATTCATAAGAAATTAAAGAGATCTAGAATACGTATTGAATAAAATGGTTTTACAAAAGAAGCATAAAGTTGGAAGATGCACACTTCTTGCTTTCAAAAGACAATGAAGGGTCCATGATAAAAGTGGTATTGGCAGAAAGACAGATACGTAAATCAGTGGAATGTAACAGATGGTGTAGAAATACACTCCATACATACAAGGTAAATTAATGTTTTATGTTCTTTCTCTTCCTTCTTTCCTTCCTTCTCCCACCCTCCAGCCCTGTTAGGAAGTAATGAACAGGGGCTAGAGGTAGGGAGAACAGGTGTGGGATTTTGGGCTGCACTGAATGTCAGATCACTCAATTTATAAAAGGGCATCTAGACAATTTAATGAGAAAAATTTTTTTCAAAAAATATTACTGGGTAAAAAATTGCTTCCAAGTTATAAGTTCTCTATTCGCTTCACTGATTGTTTCTTTTGCTGAGAAGAAGCTTTTAGTTTGAATCCATCCCATTTATAAACTCATGATTTTAATTCTTGTGTTATAGGAATCTTATAAGGAAGTAGGGACCTAATCCAATATGATGGAGATTTGGGCCTACTTTTTCTTCTATTAGACACAGTGTGTCTGGTTTAATTCCTAGGTCCTTGATCCACTTTGACTTGAGTTTTGTGCATGGTGAGAGATAGGAGTTTAATTTCAGTTTGTTGAGTGTGGAATTCCAGTTTTCCCAGCACCATTTGTTGAAGAGGCTATCTTTTCTCCAATGTGTGTTTTTTGCGCCTTTGTCTAATATAAGATAATTGTAATTATGTGGGTTAGTCTGTGTGTCCTCTATTCTGTACCATAGGCCTACCAGTCTATTTTGGTGCCAATATTGTTTTGTTACTATTGCTCTGTAGTATAGTTTAAGTTCTGGTATAGCGATACCACCTGCTTCACTCTTCTTGCTAAGGATTGCTTTAGCTATTCTGGGTCTCTTATTTTTCCAGATGAATTTCATGATTGCTTTTTCTATTTCTATGAGCAATGTCATTGCGATTTTGATGGGAATTGCATTAAATCTGTATAATGCTTTTGGTA